GAATTTTACGAAAAGGTTGAACATGAAGGGAATCATATTTCAAAAGGCATCTACAAAGGCCGAGTTTAAATTTTTTTTTTTTTAATTTTAGAATTTATTTATTAAAAGTGTATATTTGTAACAATAAAAAATTCGAATAAAGTATTTAATTTTTTATATGAGCAAAAAATTTGTGTTCCTTTAGGAGTTATTAAGTTTTTTTTTATTAAATCTTATTTTTGACAAGTGCCAATAGCTGAAAGTAACTTTGGTTGACACATATTAATGAATACAATGTTTGCCCTGAAATAAGAAACCTGAAWTTACTTTAAATAGAAAGGAAGACTATGCTGATTCATTACTAGGATAATACTGCTCCTACCTTAGCGTAAGCGCATGTAAGCTACTTTAACATACCAACTGTCAATAACAATATTATTTTTTTTTTTTGCTCCCAGTAAATAAATTACTATAGAGAGCGAGCTTTTTTTTCATTCACGTGTAAGCAAATTCCACACCCCACAGCGCCAATGACAAGAGAAAGAACTACAATAGCAATATAAATGCCAGCACCTCACTCAACTTCTAATGCAATTGGGTACGGTAACAGAGCATCACACAAGTTTTTTGCATTACACTATTTTTGAGAAACAAATGAATTAAAAAAATTACAATAAATATACATAAATATTTATTTTATAAATTTTATAAATTAAAAAATCAAAATTGTTTTGTGAGCCACTGTGTATATCTGTACATATGTACATACAAATGTAGGTATGTCGAATTGAGATTCCATTGCATGCGGTTGAAGTTTAGCGTGCATTGCCACAAACATCTCGGAGCAAGCAAACAGCAGCTGTCACAGAGAYGAAGCAATAACAGCAACAATCACAGTGACAACAGCAGGCACTGCACACGAAACGATTGGGTACATACACACATACCTCGCGATAAGGCATGCACACGCGTAATAAAGAGCTTTGAAAAGTGAAAATAAGCACAACAACACAATGCGTTCAAGTGGCAATTTTACAGCGCGCTTCTTTTCGCTTTATTTCTTGTTTTGCTTCCACTATTGTTTTTTATGACATTTTCGCTAATGCTTGACGGTGGGTCGCAGATCTGACAGAACCCATTAGGAAATTAAGTTGAGTTATTTAACCAAATTAAATTGCTTTGCACCGCTTTGAAATGGAAATGCCACATACATACATATATTTGTTTTTACTGTTATTAAAGATTGTGGCACAGTCTGCAATTGGAGAGTATGAATGATTTTTACACAGCAAAGCGCGCCTAATTGACCTTGAACCAAAACATCAACTTGAACTTAATAACTAAAGTGTAATAATGTTATTTAAAAAATGTTAACAGACTTAAATTGTGCTGGTGCTGTTAGCAGTTCATTAATTGACCATATGAACAAAACGAATTTTTAAGTTTCGAGTAACAAAAAATTTTTCAGTTTTTGAACAAGTTTTTACATAAACTAAGAAACTTTGTCATCTTTATTGGGGAAGACACCGCTTACGCAGTTATARCCGCGTATACAACAGCCCGCCTGTTGTTTTGCTGTCCGCCGCCAATTGTAGATTCCAAGTGTAGCTAGGTCCTTCTCTAGCTGGTCTTTCCAATGGAGTKGAGGTCTTCTTTGCTTCCGCGGGCGGCTATCCGTCGAATACTTTCCGAGCTGGAGTGTTTTCATCCATTCGGACGACAGGTGAGTTTAAAGCTTGACATTGAAGTATATTTTGAGAGTAGACATATGTAAGTAGATCCTACTAAACAAAAATCAATCATATTCAGAAATATATAGGCAGTCACTCAGTAATTCGGGTTATATCCTCCCAAGTTTGCGGGAGGGTTATATCCTCCCACGTTTGCACTAATTAAGTTACTGATGGCAATGAGAAATTGTAGAGTCCGTTCCCACGACAGTCGGGTCTACGAAAACCGGAACGGATCCGGATTTTTATCCGGCCAAGGACTGTCAACTCGGCAGAATTCTGCCGTTACAACAACAACAACAACAACAGAAATTGTAGAGTAAATGTACATATGTAGAGACTGAAGGCCTGCTTTCAGAATACTGACATCCAACGCAGCACATATATTTTTTTAGAAATTTTATTATTTTATTAACATTGCGTTATTACATCTGCTTCCTATGTATGTGATCTCTTCCCACCTAATGCATTTCCATTTTTTCATATACCTCCAAATAGAATTATTGGTATTAAATTAAAATAGTAWGCGTTCGAGCCACACAATAAATTGCTATAAAACAATGTGGTTGGCAAAATGCATTGAACAAGAAGCAGCACCAGCGCAACACTTCTCAACGATATCGCTGCCGCAGCATACAGAAAATTTTTAGCTGMCAACAAAAGATTAAAAAAAACCAACAAGTAATGAAGATCTAAATTCGGGTGTAACCGAGCATTTTATACTCTCGCAACTTGCAAGAAATAAAACCCAAGAAATTTATTATTTATATTATTTTAATCACAAAGAAACACGCTCTCTCATTTTCATTGAAACAACTCACATATTGGCCGATATACGAGGTATAAAGTCACACGGAAGTTTCAAAATCTTTATATGAGTTATATGGGGACTGAGGGGAGTATTGATATACASGGTTACTATTGTCAGGAAAGRATTATCTCTGARTTTCAATTGTATATTTCACACATTKAMCGATATTTTCTACAAAATCGGTAYTTAGAGGCTAGAACAGYTTTGGTTCGATTCAGACAATTTTTGACCATAAGATGGTACACTTTAAAGCACTATACGCTCAAAGTTTTATCCTGATATATCAATTCATTCTGCATTTATACACTGGACAGTAAATGTTTCAAATGGAATTTGTGGARTGGAAGTAGACGTGGCTGTGGTCCAATTTCGCTGTTTTCGCACATGATGCGCCTTGCTAGTGCGACCTATTGTGCCAAATTATACTTTTATATTTTAAGTTAGTTATGGTACTTTAATCATATTCGGTTAATGGCGTTTTGTGGTCGTGACAATGGTCCGATYACTCCCATCTACGAACTCTAACTTAGTTTTTGGCCAAGGAACTTGTGTACCAAGTTTAATCGAGATATCTCAATTTTTACCGAAGTTACAGCATGCAAGACGGACGGACGACGGACAGACAGTCACCCGGATGTCAACTCGTCTCGTCATTCTGATATTCTGATCATTTATATATATAACGTTATATCTATCTCAACAAGCTTTAGGTGAACAAAATTATTTTACACTGTAGCAACATGTTTCAAGAGTATAAAAAAAAATAAAAAAAAACACAAACTAGCAACAGCAACGATAAAACTGTTGAATGTGAATGATTCATGCCAAAACACTCCATCAGATGCACATATGTACAGATATACAATGTCTACATACAAAGTGTATTGAGATACATATGTACAGGTTATATATATGTATATTGAAACTGCATACAAATCCAGACGAACATTAAAAACGAAAATACAAATATGCATACGAATTGCTTACATATTTACAGTTACCAGCTTGAGCTGCAGCAACATGTGATTGTGCATGCATATGATTTTGACCGCACAATTTTATGAATGCATATACATATGTACATACACACATATGTGTTTCTTTTTAGTTTTTACATACTACGACAACTGTATATGAAGGAGTAATTATGTTTATATGTACTTACAATCCAAATGTTTCTTCTTGGGCCCGATGCACTCCTCTGTGGTGGCCTTGCACACTGACTTAGCCAGGCCTTGACCGGCCAAGCTATGCCGCGCTGCCAAGAGCCGATCGTTGATGGTCTGCCCTGCCATAGTCATGATGCTGCCGCTTTTTAATTTACTTTGCGCTTTGCTGGTGCTATCTTAGCAGATGTTCTAAGCTGAAGTTGGACTTGTAGTCAGTGCTGGAATCGTTATGGTGTTTTTGCTCACTGATTGACAACTATTATTACTGTTTGCTTAAACTTCCGTTATTTCCTTTTTTTACAATTTTTATTTATCACTTTTCGCTCTATTGGAGTTTTGGTTTACTGTCGAAGATGGGAATTGAATTAAATTGAGCTCAGATGGTTTGATATTTTTTTTTTTTTTTTGGGTTGAACTCATTGAGTGTTGAGTGACAATTTATATTTCATTTATAGCACGAGTATTGAGTAAATCTGTAGTTAGGCCATTAAAAATGTATGTGATTTTAGTTTATCGAAATAATTAAGTATTACTTTTTTATTTTATTTTATATTTTCGATCACTAATTTTCTTTATAGAAATAATGACAAAAAATATACTTGCATGCTTATACAAAACTTAATTTAAATGAAAATATGTAATAATTAATCTTTTTTTAACAGGTCTGTTTCACTTTAGATGAACATGTTACTTAATAATTAATTAAATTACAAACACGTTTCAGCTTTTTTTATTTAATTTAATTTTTTTTTTTTTATGGTAACAAATAATGCATTTTTGTTTTTTCATAACACATTTCCAAATGCTTTCTATAAACTAATAGGAACTCAGCATATACAAATACTTTACTAAAATGTTGATAATTTAAAATTTGTGATCCGATTGCGGCGTTTACGCTTCATTCKCTGATTACAAATAGCAATATTTGARTAAAAGGGCTACAAATACGTTCATTTTTTTAAATATTTTCTTATATGCATGATAGTCAAATATTTTAAARGGGCGTTATAGTACGTCATACATACATATACAGTCATGGGCAGAGAATTAATACACTTTGGGCATGTAATATTAGCATAGCAAAAATTGAGGACTTACTTACATACTTACTTATGTAAGAAAAAATTAATWTTATCCAATAACAAAAAATTATGTAGTTTTCTATTGCGGATTTTGGTCTGGGCATACATATGTATATACTACATATATAGATATATGTAGTACAATAGGCCACTTTTGGGCAAATTAAAAAAAATATATATTAGAAACGTTTAAAGTGTCATTACTCCTTTACAAAATTTGACAGCCTTTTCATCATCACAAATCATTATCCTTTAACTTTTTAACTCACATAGGAAGTTATTGCGATATTATTATTTGACAAAACTACAATTTGATTCGAATAATTTATTTTAAAGGGCTGATATTTTTCTGTCTATGAATGTGAACATAATATTTAAGTTCAAAATTTACCTAAAAGAAGATATATTCCTCTATTTTTGTTTGGAAGAATATATYATGTATTAATGACATTAAAAAACTAAGTCATTTACCGTATGCGAAGCGGGCGGAAAAAAGAGTACAATTTGTTTCTGAAATGAACCTGCAGTCTCATGCAGAAATGCAAGAAAATGGTTTGAGTTTGGAGATTTTTTGACAATTATGATACCAAAATTTAGTTAAAAGAAATATGTAAGGCACCTATTTTTTCCCCCCCACAGATTGCCTAATGTATGCCAACGAAATCAATAATTTAGAGYGTCGGACATACTGACGCCCCGTAAAAGAACAAAACCGCCCCTACATTTAAAATATAATGTACTAGCATACAGTCAACATATAGCGTAGTTATATGTACATATATACATATGTATCATCCTTGAAAAGAAATAAAATCTTCACTTCTGACTAAATTCGTACAACCACATATTTAGCTACCAACTTCACTACTTTATCAAAGGAGTAGGTTCCTCCCTCCAAAATTTTTCAAATTAACCACCCTCAACATCGCCTTGTAGAATACTTTCACAATGACTTTACTACAAGGCGCGTGAATAACTGTCGCAGTTCAAAGCGCTACGTTGACGTTGTTGAAAGCGTCAAATTTGACGCCGACGTTGGCAGTGGCGCCACAAAAATCAATGCCTGTCAGCTGCAGCTGCACCTGTGCTAGTTCGCAATTTCCAAAAGATAACTTCAAATGGAGTATATTTTTAACTTTTTTAAGAATGACGGTAATTAAAAGTTCATGGCACAAAAACTGCCAACAAGGCAGAATACTCATTATTGCAGAACATATTTAARCGAAGAAGTACCATATATTGTAATACCCACTAGATGTAGAGCTTTTGGTTGGCCACAATTCGATATAGCCACAGCCACGTACAACACGTACTTGCCTGCTCTTTAGGCCTTATTTGTTACCAGCGAAGATGAAGCACCGAAAACTCAAACGACCTAAGGCCATTAAAATTATTATTCTTGAATTTTTATTTGCACAACAATTTTCTTGCCACTACATTCATATCTGTCGATATACATACATCTATTTTTTCAACGTCGTTTCTACATTCCTTCTTTTACTGATTGTTAATCCACATTGACACTCACTTTTTATCTTTTCCAACCAACTGGTTTCGGCTTTTGCACAGCGCTTTAAATATTTATTTAATTTGCACCAACAAATTTCTTCCACTCAATATTTTATTTTATAATTGCTATTTGGCTATGAATTCGCAAGCAAACAAAGTTTAATCCTCGCAATTTTGYGTGAGTTTAAATTTTATTCTTTCGATTTTTCCAATTTGAGTTCCAACACCTCTCCACTATTTCTTTTAGCCGTGTATGTGTGATTCGTGTCAATCGTTTGGGAGAAAAAACTTTCTGGACGTCGATTTTGATTCCTCTGCTTACGCTGCTGCTGCCACTTCCAATTGGATTCTGTTTCATTTGACATTTATATTCGTAGGTATTGCCACCCGATATTTCTTTAACCGTAACAATATGTTTTATTTRGCCTGACAACTAATTTAATTTAGTAGACACGGTTTAATAAATGCAAAACAAGTAAAAGTATCTCATAGAGAACTGTAATATTAAAATGTATTAATCATTACATCTAATACATTAAAATTTCACGAACCTGAAACTCTGACCACCAGCTGTGTTTTCTTCGAATTGATAAGAACTCGAATATGGGTTGTCAAAATGAGCGGACGAATTCGCAGTGCTATCTGTGAAAAAGTAATTATTGTTATAAATTAGAAAATTCAAATAATTTTGAAAGACTCGTAGAAACATAATGTAAAATATCGCCTAATRGTAAATTCTGTTTTCAGATTTCACAGGCAACACAAATTGCTCATAATGTATACCATGAGTTGGAGGTACCGGCAAAACGTTCTGCAATACTACAATGGACTCCATCATCCAGTGACATAAGCAATGAGTTACTTCAAATAATACCAAACCTACAATATGAAAAATCCTTAATTAAAGCGGTGCACCTATTACCAGCTAATGGTAAAGCTTCAGCTCGTGTGGAATTTCAACTACAAATGCAGTCATTTGCAGAGTCGTTACTGCAGGAGGACAACAAACCTGTGCCACAAATAGGATCTCATGTGGTATTCGATTTTAGTTCTCCCAACATAGCCAAGCCATTCCATGTTGGTCACTTACGTTCGACAATCATTGGAAATGTACTTTCTAATTTACACCAGCATTTGGGTTATGAGGTAACACGCATCAACTATCTTGGCGATTGGGGTACTCAATTTGGTATGCTACATTTAGGCGTTCAAATGCTTGGTATAACAAATGAGCAGATGCGTGCTAAACCAATTGAAACACTATATTCCGCGTACGTAACTGCCAACACTTTAGCTAAAACAGAGCCCAGTATTATGGAGAAAGCAAGAGAATGCTTCACGAAGCTAGAAACTGGAGCTGACGCTGAATTGGCRCGACAGTGGCAAGAATATCGTAAGCACACCGTAACTGAATTAGAGCAGGTTTATGCGCGGTTGGGTGTACGTTTCGATCAATATGATTGGGAATCGCAGTACTCGCAACGAGAAATCGGCAATGTTTTAAAGCGCTTGCAAGAACATGCGCTTCTGCTAGATGAAAGCGATGGAAGAAAAGTTGTGGAAGTGGATGGAAGACGTATACCGGTGGTGAAAAGTGATGGTTCCAGCTTATATTTAACACGAGACATAGCAGCTGTGCTCGATCGGTTTCGGCGTTATAACTTTGAACGRATGTATTATGTGGTGGAAAATGGACAAGCGGATCATTTTAATGCGCTTTTTAAAACGACAGCCGCTCTGACAACCGACATACCGTTAGATAGTATGGTACATATAAAGTTCGGACGAATACACGGCATGAGCACGCGTAGCGGCAAAGTAGTGTTCTTGCGTGACGTGCTGAATGAAGCGCGTGATTTAATGCTTGAAAAGCAGTTGCAAAGTGCTAGTAAGTTCARAATATATCCACTCCCTAAACTTAATACTAATTTCTCTCACTTCACCTTTTATTTGCAAACGAGCAGCAACTAAAGTGGAATTGTCCAGTTCATCCAGTGATTACAAAACTGTTGCCGATATACTGGGTGTGTCGGCCGTCATCACAAATGATTTGAAACAACGCCGACAACGTGACTATGACTTCGATTGGAAAAAAGCATTACAAGTGAATGGCGACACGGGAATCAAACTGCAATACACACATTGCCGACTACATAGCTTGTTACAGAATCTAAAGCATGTTGATACCTCCAACTGTAAGGTGGATGTAGCGCAGTTATCGGAGCCTGAAGCACAAAGCCTATTACATGAAATAGCTCGATTTGACCAAGCTGTGTGGATGTCGAAGCAACAGCTAGAAGCATGCGTACTGGTGAACCACCTATTCACACTTTGGTAAAAATTTAAGCGTTGCTATTTAAATAACGTTGAAGAAACATTTTTTTTTAAACAATTTCAGCAACTCAACTAGTCGAGCTTTAAAACGCCTAAATATTAAAAATGAGGAAAGCCTTAGTAAACAACAAAACCGGTTGCTCCTATTCAGTGCCGCTAAACGTAACCTAAATACAGGCATGCGTATACTGGGATTACGTCCACTGGAACAAATGTAGTTTTCGTTAAGTTTTGCAAAATAATATTTTTTTTTTTTTTTGGAATTTTGTGTGTGTAAGCAAATTAATTTTTATTKTACTAATGATGCTTACAAATGTGCTTTCAAATATAGATTTTATTTAATATATAAATACACTTAAAATGTTTTGGGCTGGAGACAARTTTTTAACGCTTCTTCCATGTGTATTTACGACGCGCACCTTCCTGTCCATACTTCTTACGTTCACGACGGCGATAGTCACGCTGCAAAAGACCGGCTGCAACAAAAGGATTGTAAGAGGTCTAAAATTATATAAATAAGTCGACGGGWTTACATACCCAGCCGCATCGACTCCACCATTTCTTGATCCACGAAGCTGCGCAAACTCATTGCTATGCCCCAACGAATGGCACCCGCCTGACCAGAGGGCCCACCGCCTTTCACGTTGGCCTCGACGTCAACTTTTCCAAGCATCTCRGCAAAAATAAGCGGGAAAAGAACCTGAAAAAGATAGGGTGTACATTTATTAAATATTTGTTTTCAAATTGGCAGAAATACTATCTTTGTTGTAAAATGCTAAATATACTAATTTTACCAAAAAAAAAAAAAAAATTTAAATTTAAATAGAGATCCGACGAATTAGCAATACATAAACATTTAGTGTATGTTTGGCGAATATCTACTCGACGTCAAGAACTTTAGTTATTTTGTTAGAAGTCTGCCGTATCTGAGCCAACGAGTTTTGACAAACAATACGACGATGGTTCCTTGAACCACTTCATCGACGAAAGCAGGTGGTCCAGGGGTTTGGCCAACCATAGGGTAACACGATTCCCTGCTCGTCGAATAGTACAGGGTGGCTGATGAATTTTGCTACATTAAGAAACTCAAACAATTTTTTTTTTTCAGTGTATGGAATTCATTTTTCTTTTATTCATGTTAAAGCTCATTCAATTTTATTAAATATAGCTTAATTAGTTTTAAAAATAATGGAATTTAAATGCTCCCCCTGATCGTTGATGCATGTGCGGCATCTTACCAAAAAGTTGTTCATTACTGCTTGGAGAGTTGAGACAGGAATAGCCGCAATTGTTTCTCGAAGGGATTGCATTAGTTCATTCAAATTTGTTGGTTTTGCTTTGTAGACTTCCTGCTTGCAATAGCCCCACAAGAAAAAGTCARGTGCAGTAAGGTCAGGCGACCTGGGTGGAGTTTCTGGATATCAGCTTATTGGGAAATTTTCATCGCAATTCTGTCATAACAGTTTGGGCTATGTGATGAGCTGCACCATCTTGCTGAAACCACACAGAGCTGAAAGAAATTCTCATTCGGCGTAATTCTGGATAGAAAAAATCTCTCAACATGCTCAAGTAACGGTCTYCAGTAACCGTAACGGTGTGACCGTTTTCTGCGAAGAAGTAGGTCCCGACAATGCAGCGTGATGAAACTGCACATCACACTGTGACACGAAGTGGATGCAATTCCGTTTCATGGAGTATCTGTGGGTTGGAAGCACTCCATATTCGACAATTTTGTTTGTTTATGTTGCCGTTTAAATCGAAATGAACCTCGTCAGACATGAAAAGACAGTTCAACATGTTTCCATCCTCTTTCTGCATTTCAAGCATCTTCTGGCAAAATTCCAAGCGAATCGGCAGGTCTGCAGCATTCAGTTTGTTGGCCATTTGAATTTTATATGGGAATAAGTCCAAATCTTTGTGCATAATTGACTTTAATGACTGTCTGCTTGCACCCATTTGAGCAGATAAGCTTCTTATCGCAACATGTGGATTGTTTTGTATGGCAACAGCTACAGCAGCGATTGTTTGATCCGCTCGAACTGAAGGGTTTCGATGGTAAGGTCTTCTGCTGACTGTCCCATGCTTGGCAAAATTGTTTACAAGTCTCATTATAGTCCATCTGCTTGGAGGATTGCCGCCAAACGTGCGCAATCTCTCTTTATCTCTTTGAACCGAAACTTCGGACTCCAGTGCGTGATAGGGGCGAACAATCCAAATTCTTGTTTCAGTGTCCCAGTTATCCATTTTTGTTAAATGTAAAAGTCAATCTGCAAAATAAAAAAAAATTAACCAGATTCATTAAATAGAAAAAAGGTTATTTAATTTTTTTTTTGGTAGCGGCTTTCATCAGCCACCCTGTACAAGGGCTAAAGTAGCTTGTGCATCTCTTCGAGTTTGAAGAGACATGACCAACGAATTTGATTTCAAGATCTGATAAGCTTGATTTGTAGAGCTTAATATGTCGCGCTAAAATAGCATACCCACTGGGTGTATGGTTGTCGTGTACAAGCGGAGGTTGCTGCAGCTACAGTACCCGCGTGAGCGGTTGTTGCCATTAGAGCGGGATGAAGTTAGTGGTTGAAATGATAGATAGATAGGAAAATTGAGGCTCTGGACTGCGACTTGCGTTCCATTGTGCTTTTTCCTATATCACATATGGTCACAAAGGTCCTAAGCAATTCAAAGARCTTGTTGGGCGCGCCTGAGGTCATATAATCCCTGTCCACGTAAATARAACCTAGGGCCTTGAGACTGATKCCGCAAATTGCTGKSAAATYCTGAATCAGGYGTTCTGGAGTTTCCTATTTATTGCRCAAGAGGCAAYGTCCATGTTAGACMAATGCTTCCTRAGCCTACAGTGCTCTGTATAGARCGCGACAAGAAGGCGGAATTTGTCTAGGGGAGATTGCTTATTTCCTCAAAAGGTTACGAGGTTGTAGCCTTACAACTGAACTGTTGCGACTGATAGTCATGATACCTAGTTGAGCTCCTTAGGACCGTAGAGGTGCTTTTTTCGCCACTAGATGGTTGCACAACAGTAGAGTCTAATCCTATCCTGTGAGTGCTTAGCGTGTTTGGGCAGGTCTTCAGATGGTTCCAATCATTATTTGTTTGTATGAGTTATAGAACTTTTAACAAAATTCACTTAAGTGCACAAGTGAGAGCCATCCAATTTCTAAAAAGAAAACTTAGATGTGTGAAAATGACGGGAAAATTGTTGTGATGCAAAGATATATGAACACTCGTGTTGTTGTTGTGAAATATATAAACAAACACGCTCCCAGGTCAGTTGAGTTTGGAACAAAGGCAGACAGACTCACAATGAACACGAACAACCACAAAATTCAGAACAATTACAAACAAGTACAATTAATCATCGACAGACTGYCGCTTTTGCTCAAATCTGATTTTTTGATTTACATTGCATATACTGCACACTAGTAATACATTCGCGCCTAGAAAGTCGAAATAGTATTTCAYTTGACCGATTAAATGCCAAATAATGAAAAATTCAATTTCATGGCAATGTGAAAATTCGTAATTTCCATAACAATASAATTTCCTGTGCCAGCATTTACATATATTGCCTTTGCTTACACTCACATATACCTAGAAACCTCACTGAAATTGCCGATGCAATTACACRAGTCGCCAAATAAATAGTTAGCTACTCTGTGGCCACCAAATAAGAACCAAAAATATGGAAAAATACATTAACTGGAAATTCCAAGTGTAGTCAGGTTCGTCTCCACCTGGTCTTTTCAACGGAGTGGAGGTCGTCTTCTTCCTCCGCTTCCACCGGCGGGTACTGAGACGAATACTCTCCGAGCTGAAGTGTTTTCAGCCATACGGACAACATGACCTAGCCGGCGTTGTTGYTGGTGTTGTTGTAGCGGCCAGCGTAGCCGCAGTCTCGTGATTCGCTGAACTACATATGTCAATGTAGTCGTATAACTCGTACAGCYCAATCTCTCGAAAACCATTAATGCCGGCTCATCAGATTTTGGTATTGCCCATGCCTCTGCAGCATGTAGCAGAACGGGGATGATGAGTGAATTGTTCGTTGAGAGAGGACTTTATTTCTCAATTGCCTACTCTGTTGGCAACAGTTATTCTGCGTTGGATTTCGAGGCTGACGTAGTTGTTGGTGTTAATAATGGCTCCAAAGTAGACGAAATTATCTACGACAAGTCGATGACTGGTTGTTTAATGACAGGAGATATTTTGTTCACTACCAGACCAGTTTGCTTCGCTTCATATTCAGCTCTGATACTCGAAGTATTTTCTCCAGCAGTAGATTGAAAAAGTCGCACGACAAGGAGTCCCTTGTCTGAATCCATTGTTTGGTATTAAACAGCTCTGACACGTCCTTCCCGACCCTGACGGAGATTTCGGTGTTGCTTAACGTCAACGTGTACAGCCGTATTAGTCTTGCGGAGATACCGAATTCAGACATCGCAGCATAAAGGCAACTCCTTTCCGTGCTGTCAAAMGCAAGACGAAGAGGTGGTGTGTGTCAATCTTCTTTTCACAGATCTTTTCCAAGATTTTGCGCATGGTGAGTATTTGGTCAGTTGTTGATTTTCCAAGTTACTAGATGACCTCTGGTGGTTCTACAAAGTCATGTTCCGGTCTTTTGTTAGTTGCCGCATCTGTTCGTAGAATTTTCGTGCTCACACATTTCAGCCTCTCTTTTGTATCTGCAAATGCGTCCCGCTTCCTTCTTCACTTTTATGAGGACATCAASCGGCTGGGCAGCGGCGCCTTCCCAATTAAGGGACCGGAAATTCCAGTTGCTTGCCCTTAAATTGTAATCCTTCATACGTTTGTCATGGTCGTCATTAAAATGGGGGTCTCTCGATCGAGGCTGTTGTTTGTATTTTATCGGGGGCGTTTTTTACATAGCGGATCCCAAATCCAGCGCACAGGGGATGTTCTTTGGCTACCCAGAGTATACTTGGTCAAAGACTGGAAGTCGTGAGCTGTTTGAGCCATGTGTAAAAGAATAGTTTCTGGCCACTCCGAAGTGAATGGCGCTCAGAAAACTTTCCTCACTTGCGTGAACTTCAACACATGAATAAATCTTCCCTATTCCTTGTTCTACATCTCTAAAATAATAAATGCATTTTGYTTGTTTCAATTTGTTTTATTTGCAATAAAATTACTAAATCTCTTTATAATGCGTACTTTTAAATAAAACCTTTAAAAACAACTATTGTAAGTTATTTTTTCATTACTTGCTTTGCTCCAGTTTCACATCATTGTTTCATTTTATCTACATTTATCGAATAATATTTGTTTGCCCGATTTCTACATTTCTAGTGGACATCTATAATTAGGCATTAGGCTTAGATTAGCATGGAAGTGTACACATTTTTTGGTCGAGTATCGTCATTTACATACTCCTACACTTATCTACACAGGCGGCATACAGTTATGTACACATGTAAATGTTTCGCTTCAACGGTTATACAACATTTTAAACAATCGAACAGAGAATCAAATGCAAAAAAAAGTTAAACAACTTCGAGGAAATAAATGTACTCCCATTCTATGCCAAAGCAAGTGTTTGTGAACAGTAATTACTTTTTGTTGCGTTGAATACACAAACGGTAATTAAATATTACTCATACGTACGGGAGAACTGAACCAATGGAAGGCAAGTGCCAAGCATCGATGAATAGTAAAAAGAAAAATGTA